CGCTCTCTTGTGCAACATTGGCTCATCTTCCTCTACTATCCATTATTCTGTTGTGTTTGTGACAAATATTGTGCCAAAGGCTATCGGCCCGTAGTCTTCAAGTTTTATTCTTATTTGTCGCTCTCGGAGGTTTAAGTTGTAATGAACGTAGACTAGTTTATGAGGCCTCTCCGAAGCGAGTCGATTCCTCCTAGTAGTGTGCAACCATTGGAATGTACTCCAGTTTCGCTCACACTCAGTAGCAGAACATGTCTAGGAGAGCACCTTGATTGCTATCATCTTTAGATGAGGTGCATCATTATCATATATCTCCTACCATTTAGCTGGATTAAAATGCAAAAAGCATTGTAAGGATAAGAACAATTCATGAGATTAAATATATGAATGAACAAAATATTAGTTAGGGGATAACCTGGATGTATCTTAGTTCGAGAATTCTTGACAAGTCTAGTTCCGAAGGATCCTATAGCATCCATATATATAGCAAGCTAAAACAAAATATTTCATTTTAGTGCATTATTCCTCACAAATATAAAAACTCAATGAAGTTCTTACCTAAATATTAAATATTACCTCTTGTATTACTGCTATCTGATTTTGATGGCTTCTCTCCAGCTTGGCAATAATGTATCTGACCCCTTCCATAATCTTGTGGGGATGTTCAGGTGTCAAATAGAAAAATTTTGGGTTGAAGTAGTAACCTAAAAAATACATAGATAGAGAAAGGTCATTTAAAATTTTATAAAAAAATAATTGAGAATTAAACATTCTAATGATATAAATATATATGTATATGCATAATGAATTGGACGTCCAAATTTGGTATTCCATCTTCTTTCTATAATCTCAATCACTTTACTAGCAAAACTACGCTTCTGCCCAATAGCTGATTTGGCCCTCTCGATACCTTTGTAAAGGATGCCCATAGTAGCTTTCTTGTCAGCATCCACCATTCTTAACACTGAGACCAAATGGGCAGTGGCATCTACGACACTAGAACATCGAGACCAGAACCTCCTATTTGAGACTATGTCGTCCACTTTTAGCCCGATACTGGACTTCGAGAGACAGTCATTTAACCACTCTTCACTGGTAAATAATCTCTTTAATACACCTTTAGATTCTCATATACAGTCCCCAATCAAGTAATCTGTCACAAAGCGGGTTATGGCAAGCCTGATTATTTTTGTTTTCTTAGATTGTTCTCTGAACAAAAATAAAATTTTAGAGTAGTTATATACAAATCTTGATACCAACCTCACTTCTTGTAGAGCCCCCTTCACAATTTTGATCTCACCGATCTCCTCTAACATAAGATCTATCTTGTGTGCAGTAGACGAGGTCCATACTAGATATTTCCTCTTATCCATCAACTTGCTGCCTGCAGAAACACATGCACACATATTGTCTGTAATAAATTGGACTACATGCTTATCTCTCACCTCCTCTACTAGCTGATCACATAATCGTACAAAGAAGTTTGCATCTCTGATACGTCTTTGCTAGACAAAAAAACTGTTCCTTTTGAGGAATAGGCCAAGAAGTTAAAACTTTTTTTTGGTAACTTTATTCAACCAACTATCACTCATGAGGGTAATGCATGTTCTTGACCAACTCTGTTTATATTCTTCAATCCATTTTCTAACTTCCTCTACCTCTTCATCCAAGATTGGGCTATTGAGCTCATATGCCGTCGGAGGCTTTATCCCAAGCCCAGCTCTTTGGATTGCGTTGACCATAGGTGGGAAATATGGGCTATTGGCTGCATCAAAAGGGATTCCTTTATCGTATAACTATTTACCAACATATCTGCCCAACATGTTCCTCATACCTTTCACCATGCCTTTGAAGGTTATCTGTTGTGACTTAGGCTTTAAGAAAAATGGGTCTATACGACCATGACCTGCAATACTAGTACTTCTAGATAAGCTAGAAACAATTTCTTCAACGTCTGATTCTTCTTGATATATATTGCCACCAATCCATCTATACATATTTGACATGGGCCTGCCATTCATGCTTGAGCTGGGCCCGCCATGTATGTCTGAGCTAGGCCAACCATGCATGCTCATGTCATAACCATCAAGCCCCGCCATGTATGTCTGAGCTAGGCCAACCATGCATGCTCATGTCATAACCATCAAGCATTCTAAACTCGCGTTCCCTCTGGTTTGTTTTCTGTAAACTCATTCTTGTGGCCATCTCCAAATCATTATTATATTGATCATTCCTGCTCAATGTCGTATATAAATCAGCTATCTCCTCATCCATCCTCTGCTTTGTAATTTTTTTACATTTGGTAGCTTTGAGAATTACCGTCATCTGCTTTCTTACATTACTAGGGATACTATTACATGCAGAAACATCTCCCTGAACCCTTGCCACGTGGTTCTTGAACCTATGTACCCCACTACTTATCACTTTTTGGCAGTAATTATAAGTAATTTTTTCTTTTTTGTTGGGATCAAGTCTGACCCCATGTTACCATGTAGGGTCTTCCCTAGATCTTGCCATGATTCAACTGTTTTAATATGTAAATGGTTAAAATTTAACCTGACAATTCGATATGAAAATAATCATCATGTGTAGTGATAATATGTAGGGGTAGTTCATGAAGTTATATTTGTTGTTAATGTGAAATAGTTCTATTGGCAAAAATATTTTAGTTCCTACTGGAAAAAATAATTTATTTATGCAACAATATAGATAAAAATAGTAGATATCAGCCATTACAATAATATAGTCATCTATAATGCCACTGCGTACATTTGGTATAAAAAATATTTACAATGATATAGTCATTCACAATGCCACAAATAATATTTACAATAATATATGGGTACAATCCCACCTCAATTAAAATAATCACAAATAGTTGTACATCTCAATTACAAAAATGCAAGATAATATAATAAAAAATGCAAGCTCCAAACGTGCCTACAACTCAATTATCAAGAATATATATATATAATTTATGTATCAATATGTATTTTTTTGCATTAAAAATTTAATAATAAATTTGAAAAATGCATGATAATATATTTATCATACATGCCACGATTTTTTTTTACAATGATATTTATACAGTTAATACCAAGAATATACATACATGCCACAAATAATATTTACAATGATATAGTCATTCAAGATAATATAATGATAAAATATTTATCAATCATATACATACATTTTATGTATTAAAATTAAAAAATACAGTTTTGCATTAAAAATTTAACAACATGTATTTTTTTGCATCAATAATTTATCAACATGCAATTTTTTGCATTAAACATTTAACAATAAAAATTAAAAATATGATTTAATTCGTCATGATAATCAAAACCTAGTCACAATTTTCATAATTTTTCAGAAAATCACGATTTTTCGAATAAATCGATCATCAATTTTTTTTTTTAAAAAATGCAGTTCTTCACAGACCCACCTGATATCAGTCATTCCAACTCTAAAATCCACCTCAAATCAAATAAATTACATCAATTTGAATACTTGTTATGATAAACAACACTATAAGGTATCAAAGCCCTATAATATTAACACATTATTATAAAAAAATTGAATAAAATCGATTGAATGGTGGAAAAAAAAAAAACGTAGTTCTTCATAGATCCACCTGATATCAGTCATTCCATCTAAAAAATCAAGCTTAAATTGAATAAATTAGATCAAATTGAATACATTTGATGATAAACAACACTAGTAGGAATCAAAACCCTATAAAATTAGCACATTATTTGTAAATAGTTGAGTAAAATCGATCGAATGGTGAAAAAAAAAAAGCAGTTCTTCATAGACATCAGTCATTTTTTCTAAAAATCAAGCTCAAATTGAATAAATCAGATCAAATTGAATACATGTGATGATAAACAATACTATAAGGAATTAAAACTCTATAAATTTCACACATTATTTGCAAATAATTGAGTAATATCGATTGAATGGCGAAAAAAAAAAACGCAGTTCGTCACAAGCATTAGTCATTTTTTCTTGAAAATCAACCTTAAATTGAATAACTTATATCAAATTGAATACATTTGATGGTAAACAAAACTATAAAGAATCAAAACCCTATAATATTAACGCATTATTTGTAAACTATTGAATAAAATTGATAGAATGGTGGGGAAAAAAAAGAAAACCGCAGTTCTTACCTGTTTTTCCTGCACCCATGGCTTCAAATTTTAATCTGAGATGTAATCGTCCAAATACTCACAAATTATGAACAACAACTTCTAAACAACACTCTTAAGATCAATAACCCTCAAATTTTATAAAAACTGATGCCCTATTTTACTTGAAATCAGAGAAATGGCGGATCCCTAAAACTCACGCTTTGTTCTTCACATATCCAAATATTTGTTATCAAAATCAATGATTCTACTACAATTTATTGACTGAAATGTTTGAAAATATTAAAGTAAAGGCTGAAAGATTCAATTACAAAGCTGAAAACGGTGAAAAATGACAGAAAACCATGAATCTCGTGAAAAATATTGTTACACCAGTGTTTTACTATTGAGAACAGGGTTGACTCGATGATTCACTATTGAGAATCGCCCGATTCTCTCTGGACACGGGCGATTCCCGGTATTTCACTGGAATGGCACGGGTGTGCTTATTCCCAAGTTGAACCGGGCGAGTCCGGTTCGACTCGCTGAGTTTTGAATCACTGCTCTCAACAATTGGACAGGAAACCGGTGGGAGGCGATCTAGATTGGGAACTTGGAGTTGTCCATCTCCCTCAATTTTAAAATTCTTTAGATCTAACTCGCTGAACCAATCCAATCCATGGTAACCAATTGGGAACCTTGTTCCAAGTTTTAAAATACTAGCCTGGTTCCGAGTTTTTAAAAACACTAGCCAAGAACTGTAACCGTATTGCCTGAGAATCTTTAATATGCTCCCGCGGGAGCATATACTCTTTTGGCCTCCCCCTCAAAATTAGTGTTCACTATAAACCAATGAGAGCCCAATTCCGCCCTATCCTTTTTCCTCTCTTCCCCATTCAACAACTCTCTCTTCTTTCGGCTGTCGCTCCTATAGTATAGTGATCAGTCACAAATATAGTGAAAACTTTGAGAAGTCGCCGTCAGCAGGAGAAGAAGCCCTGAAAGCCCTTTTCTTGCATTGGACGATCGGCAGAAGATGGGCACTCTGGGAAAGGCAATCTACACCGTCGGATTCTGGATTCGTGAGACTGGCCAGGCCCTCGATCGCTTGGGATGCCGCCTTCAAGGAAACTACTACTTCCAAGAACAATGTATCATTCTTTCCTCCTCATAACCTCCCCTCTTTTATTTTCCTTCTCAATTTCTTTTATTTTGTTCCACACTCCTCACTCAGTTACTTCATAGATTGCGAGTTTCTCAATCTCTCAATCCCCATTTTTTTGGCTATTTCTCTCTCCATGGAAAAGTAGTATTGCTCCAGTTATCGCATTTTTTTTGTATTTTCCATTATTTTCATGTATTTGTGTGACTAATTGTAAGTTGAATGGGCAAAATTCCTTCATAGATTCCCAGTCTCTCCCTCTAAATCACTATTTTTTCCCCTTTTCTTGTATAATTTATTTTGCTGTTTTACCTCTCTGTGATTCGCATTTTCATCTCTCACAAATTCTAAGTTTCCCTCTCCATCTCACATGTATCTTCGCTACTTTTTTGCACTATTGTCTATGTGTAATACCCATGTTTGGTTTGAGAATTTATTGGTGTCAGGGTTTCTTATTCGCCTTAGGCTTAAGTCTAGCTAAGGTAAGTGGCCTTACTGTTAAACACAGCAACCACTGCTGAACTTGGGAAAAATTAGTAAAAACAATTACAGCGATCAATGGACACTCGTAAGAACCCACTGTTTTTGTAGTCGTGGGATTGGACTGTCCCCATTTTGGGAATCAATGTATCGTGGACCTGGTATGCAGGCTGCATATTTTGATAGATATATAGATTTATAATTCATAATACAAGGCAACCTTTATTGGGGACAAAAAGAAAAGAAAAGAAAAAGGTAATCAATGAAAGGAAGTAAGTTCCTTTCTTAGTTTTGTGGCTGGCCTCTTATATGAATGAATACAATGTGCTAGCATTTGGGTTTCAAACAGTCTGCTAGCAGATTGTTCTATGAGAGCAAGGGAAGTTTGAGGAGTGTTTCAAAAAGGCTGGCACTCCTCAGCATTGGTAACAGACTTTTTGAAACCCAAAAGTTAGCTTGATATGCAAATCCATATTTTATTTATTAATTATTAATGAACTTGGCTATTGGACCCAAACTCCCAGTGCATTTCATGTGATGAGACTTCTCTGTAATGTTTATATTCTCGAAAGTGGTGGACTATTGGGTTTTTGGGATCATTGCATTGGTTTTCTCTAACATGTCTTGATATAAAACCCTCTATGGGTATTTGTCCAAGTAGCTTTCAGTTGCATTTATCTTGGGATGATTTTATTTTGAGATAAAGATAACATTGTATTGATGAGGAAAAAGATTACATGGATATGAGAGTCCGATGTCACCCACCCTTGGTGACTCGGTAAAAAATTCGTTTAGTCTATCATGTACAAAACGGGCTTATAGAAATTGCCCAATTACATTGAACCAACAGTGCAAAAAATGCCTAAATACAAAGAGGTTTAAGTTGTGTGCCACTGGTCCAGCGCAAAAAAGAAGGTGGACCCGGCTTGATCATCTTGTCTTTGACTTCTAGCTCCCTCTTTCGCCAAAAGATCTGCGTAGGCGTTGGACTTCCTCCATATATGCTTCCAGGAGACGTCCATAGCCCTAAAAATGTGATGAATCATGCCATGGTGGAGAGCTTGTTCTACTTGCCCAGGAGATGACATTTTGTGAGTCACCTTCCACTATGAGGTGTGAGCCCCAAGAATGATTGAAGTTTTTCAAGGCTATTAAGAGGGCCAAGGCTTCTGCATCATGGGAGTCCTTAAGGCCCAGGTGCTCAGAAACTGTTAGGATGATATTGCCTTCATGCTCTCTAAAGACCCCCCTTGCCCCTGTTGGGCCAAGATTACCTAGGGAACACCCATCAAAGTTTAACTTGATTCTTCCTTCTGGAGGAGGTTGCTAGTTATTAGGCCTTGTTACCAAATGTGGCTGATGATGGAGGACATTATTCCATTGGGTAAGGAAGAAACTCCCTGGGATACCCGAAAAGGCCTTGTGGTTTGAGGCCCAAAAGGTGACCAGAGAGATTACCTTGTGAAAGAGTGCCGGTGTATGGAGTTTTGAGCCTTGAAAGATTCTTGAATTTCTTTCCAGCCAAACTATCCAACTAGTTGCAGCTATAGTTGCCTTCCACAAGATTTTTCCGGCCTTTGGCCAGCATGAATCAAGATCGTAAGAGCCTTGATCGAAGGGGGGGGGGTGACCCATTTGATGCCAAATAATTGCAAAACACAACCCCAAAGGTCAAAAGAGAAGTCACAGAGGATGAAAAGGTGGAGGTTTGTTTCCTCCTCACATTCACACAAAGCACACCTATTGGGGATGGCGATCCCTCTCTTTGGAGGTGGTCCACTGTGAGAGCTTTTTGAGAAAATGCGAGCCAATTGAAAGTCTGGACTTTAGGTGGTGCAAAGGTGGCCCAAACTCTGGACAGTACCGAGGTGTGAAATCTCGGGAGGGGGGTATTAGAGTTAAGCTTTTATAGAACGAAGCTATCGAGAAGTTACCAGAGGGGGTTAGAGTCCAGACTATAGCATCGCTGCCTTGAGGTAGGATGAAGAGAGAGTGTAGGGTTGTCGAGAGCACCTGGAAGTGGTTGGTTTCCTCTTCTGTTAGGTTCCTTCGAAAAGAAGGGTTCCAAATTCTACGGCCTCCTGCCAATATCATTTCCTCAGCAATAGAAGATTCTTTATTTCGAGCAAGTGAGTACAGGGTAGCGAACACCTCACGCAAGGGGGATGGTCCTAACCATGAATCTGACCATAATTTTGCTCTCGAGCCTTCTCTTGGGTGGAACCTTATGAACCTTTTGAATGGAGTCAAGGCGGTTGAGAATGTCTTTTAGGCTCCTGAGGCGTTATGCAACTGAATCCTATCTGGCATCCAGGCACCCTCAGGGATGCGATACCTATGCGTTAGAACCTGTGCCCAAAGTGCATTAGGCTGGGTGGCTAGGCGCCATCACCATTTCCCTAGAAGAGCCAAGTTGTGTTTTCGAAGGACTCTAATACCTAAACCACCCTGATTTTTACTTCGACAAACGTTATCCCAAGCTACAAGATGATATTTTTTCTTTACAGCCTGCCCCGATCATAAGAAGTTCCTCATGAGTTGGTTCAGATGGTTGGCGACCTGAGCAGGCATATGGAAGAGGGACATGAGGTAAACTGGGGAGTTTGCTATAGTAGCTTTAGTCAGAGTCGTTCTCCTTGTCATTGAAAGGAATCTGCCCTTCCACCCAGTCAGAAATCTATCTACCTTATCTAAGACTTGGGACCATTGCCTCTTCTTGGGTTTCCCAAGCCCCAGAGGTAGACCAAGGTAGGTGGTCGGGAAATCCTCGACTTTACACTCCCAGCTTGAAATGAGTGCTCTAACTTCTGCAATTGTCATAGCAACACCCAACATTCTGGAATTTTCCATACTTACTTTGAACCCAGTTGCTATTTGGAAGGAATTGAGGAACATTTTGAGGGTCTTGACTTCGCTTGGAGAGGCATCCATAAACACCAGGGTGTCATCCGCGTATTGCAAGTGAGACACAGTTGGGCCATGTCTACTGGTTTTGTAGCCAGAAAGGAGGTCTGCCTGATAAATTTGGAAGATAGAGCGTCTGAAAACTTCAGCTTCGATTGCAAACAGGAAGGGGGAGAGAGGGTCTCCTTGACGGAGACCCCTCGAGGAGGGGAAGTATCCTTTTGGGATGAGAGAAATGTGGATTGGAGTAGCAACCTCTCATCCACGTCCTCCATCTCTTCTCGAAGCCCATTCTGGCCATGGACTCATCCAGAAGAAAAATTTAACATTCTGGCCATGGACTTAACATATAAAAAGGAGAAGAAAAATTTAACATTTTTATGTGTCATGATAGCGTGAGTGGCTCTCTTATGCCATCCATTACAGGGTTGTTGGAAACGGTCCTTCTTAGGTAGTAGATTCATTATCTCCATTTCATTATGGAGAACTTGGAAAGCAGTTGAGCTCGGGGGACATTAGGGAGGAAGTTTATTTGAACTTATGGTGGGCCACAACCCATCATAAGACCTCCACATGATCTTTATTGATTTAGAGAAAGTATATGATAGGGTATCTAGAGATTAATTTGGTAGGTGTAGGAAAAGAAAGGAGCCACTAGAGGCTATATTGACATGGTGAGCGATATGTACAAGGGAGTGCTAACTAGTATGTAGACAACTAGTGGAGAGACAAATGAGCTCTCAGTGAGAATGAGCCTACGTCAGGGGCCAACATTGAGCCCATATCTCTTTATTTTGGTTATGGATGAATTAATCAGGCTCTTACAAGATGAGGTACCATATTGTATGTTGTTCATGGATAATATAGTTTTGATCAATGAGACTAGAGGTGGTATTAACGTAAAGTTAGAGTGTTGGAGGGATGCTTTAGAATCTAAGGTTTTAAAATTAGCCAGACTAAGGCAGAATATATAGAATGCAAGTTTAGTGATAATTAGAGTAGAAATGAGGAAGTAGTGAAGATTGATGGTCTAGCAATACCTAAAAGGGATTGTTTTCCATATCTAGGGTTGATAATCTAGGAGAAAGGAGAGATTGAGGAAGATGTCGCACATAGCATTAGAATTGCATGGGCGAAGCGAAGATGTCCATCTAGAGTTATATGTGACCGCCACATACCATTGAGGTTGAAGCATAGTTTCAAAAAGCGCTAGGCGGCCGGCCCCCAGGCGGCCATGGGGGTCTAGGCCGCCCAGAACCTGGGTGGCCGATTTGAAAAAAAAAGAAAAAGAAAAAAAAGACCATAATCTCAGTTAAAAAAAAAAATAGAAGTCGAGAAATTTTTTTTGATAATCCATAAGACCATAATCTATATTTTTCATACAATGCTAAAACAGTAAAACCATACACTGATAGTCTGATACACTGTAGATTGTACACACAAAAGTTAGATAGTAGAACTAGAAACTAAAAAGTAGAAACTAAAAAATATGCAGAAATTCAAAAAATATACAGTCTAGGCACTCAATACAACAGTCAACACTCAACACCAAGAGTCTTCAGTCATCATCATCATCATCAGAAGGAATAAGGTTAGCTTCATCAT